CACGGACATCCTGGTCCGAGTGAAGGACTCCTTCATGGACCTGATGGGACAGACCGGAGTGATCCGGAGCGTCACGGTGAGAGAATCTTCATCACAGATTTATTAGAAATAGTGTTGCGCCGATCCGTTCCGCGCTACCAGGCTGTGCAGAATCGGCCGATACCATCTGTTTGAAATTGATGTGTGTTTGTAAATAAAGAACTGCATCCTACTGGGATGAAGAATTATTACCATCATGGCTTTGTCAAGCTGCTGACTACCTTTGTGAAGCAGGAAAAAGACTAATACAAAGTGAATCCAGCAGAACTTTTTATTTCCTATCTGGAATGAGTGACAATAGTTGAATAAACTTTTGGCTATCAAAATGATATTGGTGCAACACTAATTCAAAATCATTAGTTTTTTTTATTCAATTCAGTTTATTTCTATAGCTCCAATTCACAACACATTTCACCTCAAGGCATTTTACAGTTCACCAGATCATTATCAAACTGATTGAAAGTTTTCTATCTAAGGAAAAGTTGATTGCATCGACTCATTGACTCAAATGCAATCCCTCACACACAGCATGCTTGTAGCGACAGTGGAGAGGAAAACTGGAAGAAACCTCCAGCAGAACCAGGCTCAGTGTGAGCGGCCATCTGTCGAGGCTGACTGGGGTTCAAGGAGACAGGCAGCAAGGAAACACACAGCCAGGCAGACAAGCTCCGAGCCAACTCCCATGTCAGAGGATGAAGAGAGCACATCCAGCCAATCGCAGTCAGAGAAACAGGACCACACTGTTTATAGATGTTAGAGATTGGCCTGTTTATCAATGGTGTTGATGGCAGCAGCACAGCTGATATTTCTCTCCAGGATGGAGTCACAGCCAACCAGGAACAGACCAGATGAAGCTACTATGAGAAAAAGCAGAGAGAGCAGAACGTTAGAGATTGAACTAACAGATCCTGCAGAGTGGGAGAATAGAGATAGAATGAAGATAGAATTTTTGTGTTTAAATTAAAACTGATTTGAACTCCTAAAAGTCAGAAGTTGGGATTTTTTTTTAAATCAGTGAAGTTCAGGAGTTCAGTCTGACCCATTTTTATAAAACATTCAGTTTCTAACAACAACATCTGGTTGGATGTTATCATTGAACAGCGTGAGGAGGAAAGAGGGGGGCAGGTCGGCTCATCTGAGACGCTCTGGTGGTTCTGAATCCTCCCTGCTTTGTCTAGAACTGTAATCCTCAGATTAACGTCCAGGAAATCTGAAACCTTCCCTCTTTAAACCGGTCTGAGTGTCCAGAACCAGCCCAGGATCCTCTAAGGATGTTGATTATTGTTGGGTTCTGGCCCGGATCTCTCCACTAAGTGCAAACATTATCTTCAGACGACAAGAACTATTATTGATTTTTATTTTTTTTAGATGAAACTCTGAGTTCTGTTTCTGGACCGTTCTGGTTCTGAGCCTTTGCACCTGTGTGTCTGCAGGGTGGGATGTGCTCCGTGTTCATGCAGGAGTCTGAGAAGGTGGTGAGCGTCAGCAGCGACCATCTGGAGCCCGTCACCCCGACAAAGAACAACAAGGTGAGTTCTGCCGCTTCATCTGAAAGGTTCTGGTTCTGAGGCGTAGAATCAAACCCACAGGATTTCAATGTGAATTGCTGACTACACGGGGAACATTTTCCCTCCTCAGATATTCCGTTTATTTCTGAGGCTCTCATCAGCTCCCCTGTTGTTGCCATGGTTACATAGAGACTGACTCTGAGCCTTGTGTTTCCAGGTGAAGGTGATTCTGGGCGAAGACCGGGAGGCCACAGGGATCCTGCTGAGCATCGACGGCGACGACGGTATCGTTCGCATGGAGCTGGACGACCAGCTGAAGATCCTCAACCTGAGGTTCCTGGGCCGGCTGGAGCACTGAGGGGCAAGCAGGGGCCAGCCGCTCCGTTTTAGTTTTTACGTCTTTCTTCAGTGGTCCGATTTCCGCTTTTAGTGCTTTTCCTGTTCTGTCAGATATATTTGGTTTCTGGGCTCCAGGCTAAATGGATCAATAAACTGTGAACCAGTACTGCTTCCTGTTTTCCTTACCTGCTCAGCTTCAGGCGATGGTGGAGAACAGCAGAGGACCACGGCCGCATCCATCAAGAACATTCAGAAAACTGATGCCTCTGATGTGTTGGAATTTCCTAATTCAAGGTTTTTGATAGAATTTCAAGTTAATGATTTAGGAAACATTCTAAGCCTTCAGAGAGCTCCAAAAATGATCCATCCATCCCAAAACGAAAACATCTCAGGATTTCTTTTTCTTGTTTGTTTCTTTGCAGAGATTGTTAAATTTCTCTGACCCTCTTTAGCCACTCTGGATCAGAGATCACATATTGCTTAGTCACACAGGAGTTGAGGCCTGGTTATACTCCAGCACCAGTGTGTCGCAGTGAGCTTGTCGCAGATATTTTTCCATTTTTGTTCAATTTTGAAGCTGGTCTGCGCTATGTTATTCCACAACGCAAGAGGCACATTTGCGTTTACTGCACGCACATGCAGACGATCGGGTTTCTGAGTATAAATCAGCCTTTAGAGTAAAAAAAACTTTAATCAGAAATATTCCCATTTTGATTATGAGTCTCTTGGTTTAATTTTACCAGTAACTAATGATCTTGTTATAAAATGTTTCCTGTTGGATTTAAATAAATCTTTACTAAAGGTTGTGTAGTAGAAGCCCAGTGGCTCAAGGTGGGATTACAGGAAGTGATGTTTTCTGTTTCCGTCTGCTTAACCCCAGTTGGTCTCAGCGCGTTGCCACTCACACTGAGCCTGGTTTTGCTGGAGGTTTCTTCCTGTTGAAAGATGGTTTTTCCTCTGCACTGTCGCCACATGCATGGTCAGTGTGATGGATTGCTGAAGAATCGAGACCGAAATGCAAACGAATATCTACCGTCTCTACATTCTAATCCTGGAGGACAGAATCCAGCAAAGTCAATGACTGGATGCACTCAGCTGGTTTCTAAAGAGTTTTTATATCACGTTATGAATTGTTGCCATGTAAATAATCTGGTTGAATTGTATCCAGATTATGTAATCATACTCCTACCACTAATGTGTCAAACAGGAATGCATCCACTGATTAAACAAACAAGAGGAAAAACTGTCCGAAGTGAATAAAAAAACAGATTTTCGACTGATTTTATCGGTTTGGAGGAAATATCTCTGACCCATCCTGGTCTGGTGGAGAAATGATCATTTTCCTGTAGAGCACATGAGGTTTTAGACCATATTTTAATGTCAATGTTTTGTCCAACAAAGGGGAAATTCGTTCTCTGCTTTTTAACCCATCCCCTTGGGGAGCAGTGGGCTGCCATCGTACAGCACCCAGGGAGCAATCAAGGGCTTAGGGTCTTGCTCAGGGACCGGGGATGCAGTATTTATTTTAATGGGGCCACAGAACCAAAGCATGAAGCTAAAAACAGGAATAGTTAATGGGTTTATTTACAGAGGCGCTAAGTAACAAAGTAAAAATACTACCTTAAGTAGGAATTTTGGCTATCTATACTTTACTGGAGTTTTTACTTCTAATTTTTACCTTATTTCCATACATTTCTTTGCAGTTAGCTCTACCTTCTCCTCATATTTTAAAAATAGACTATAAAAATTCTTTAGTTTACTTTCATTTAAGCTCATTTTCATTATGGCCTATTGGTATGTATACAGAAATAAATAAAAACCATCAAAATAATTAGTTTCAACCAAACAATCTGTGGTTGGACTGTTGCTGCCCCAACGTGTTGTTCACCACATACCAAAATAAATCATTTTTCAAGAGGATGTAAATTTGAATTTTACACTAATACCATCAGTTTATAAAACTAAGTAAATTAAGAACAAAGCTGTTTTCCAGAATTTTACAAAATTTTCCTTTAATAGGGCAGTGCAGTAAACAGCTGCATTACTTTTATACCTCAAGTTGTTTTAAAAATTGTGTTTTTCTACTTTACTTGATTAAAAATCGAAAATTAAGTTTATTTTTTAACTTTAACAAAAGTGTTTTTAAACAGCAGGATTTCTACTAGAGTAATAAACATGAATACTTTTCACACCTCTGTTTAGACGTTAAGGGAGACTCAGATCCAGAGGATCCAGATCCAGCAGATTAAAAGTCAGGCTGAACCGATTTAATGGTCCTGATTTTCTTCATTTTGGGAGATCGATGATCAGCTGATGCTTCTGAAAATCAATATCTACGTCTGCAAAGGTTGTATTCACTTTTTTTGAAATGCGATTAAAATGTTTCAAGTGTTTTTTATAAAACTATTATAAGATCTTTTCTCAAACAGAAAATGTCCTAAAACTATGATACTATTTCAAACGACTGAAATTTAAGAAAAAAAGTGTGAAGGTAAGAAAAAAAAAAAACTTTAAATAGATATATGGGTTCATTTATGGAATTATTTCACTTCATCTCATTACTGCCAGGCAGAGATGGCAAAAGTACTCACTTTCCGTACCTGAGTAAAAGTACAGATACTTGTGTTAAAAAATACTCTGGTAAAAGTGGAAGTACTGATTAAACTTCTTTACTCAAGTAAAAGTAACAAAGTACAGGCTTGTAAATTTACTTAAAGTATAAAAGTAAAAGTAGAAACCACTTTTTTCCTGCCGACGGAATGAAGTAGGCATAAAACTGTGGAGTGTTAGAGACCTCTGAAAGGAGGAAAAGAAGAAGAAAACCAATTGGAGTCAAATGCATTTTATCTAATCATCTTATTTTAAGAGTAAAAATAATAATTCCATTTGCAAACTATCTCATTTACCTACTGAAATTAAGTGTAAATACACTTAATTTAAGACATTTTTACTTATTTCTAGATCGTTTTTCCGGTGTGGATGCTGCAGGTCTGGGACTCTTGTTTTATTTCCTGTTTCTATTCAGAGAGAAACTCTTTCATCTAATAAACTCTCAGGGGATCACAGCTAAAATGTTTGTGTTTAAGGTTCTGTCAGATCAAACACTGGACCAGCTGACATCTTATGCTTTAATCATCTGGGTTCAGTACAGTTAGAGAAAAAAAAAAACTAAATCCACCATAATCCACTTTTCACATTGCTAAAACTTTACATTTAATCTGAGCGGTTCAGAGTCCAAACTCAAAGCGAAAGCAGCTGAAACAGAACAGAGCAGGAGAATCTGAGGATCATCTGATGGAGCCGGGTCAGCCGCACGGTTGCCACGGCGCCGTGTGGTTTATAGGGTAGTAGTAGAAAGGAACGTCTGGGGGGCAGGGGTGCCCACCAGAGGGTCTCTGTCCAAGGCCCGGCCCATCCGCAGGGTCCACATCGCCGTCTCCATGGTGATCACAGCCCACAGTCAGGTTACGGGTCAGCTGGACTTTCACCTGGAACAGAACCTGTCTGTCCTGTTGGAGGAGAAGAAGGTGGAGATTCAATTTAAAGATTCTGTTTGGATCTTTTCTGGTACCAGCTGCTTCTGGTTCTGATTAACACCTGTTGTTGAAACATATATATATATAGTATAATAATTTCTGATCAAATTAGAACCAACCTTAAATATCTAAACCAAAAATTATCTCTCTAAAAGAAAAAAATTCAGCAGCAACTATTTTTCCCATGTTGGCTTCTGGGCTGGAAAAACGGAGAGTTTATTATCAGGCCTTTGGATTGAGAAAAGGTTCCAAACATGGTCTGACACAGTAGTGGTAAAATGTGCACAGGCTTTAGTCACAAACTAAATTCTGTATTTCCACAGCAGCCACTCGGAGAGATTAGCTTCATCTCTGCATGATTTTGTGGTATGTTGCTTTGTCCCTGTGCCATGAATGTCTGAGGTTCTGACTAAGACAAAAAAAAGGTGATGGTTGTTCTGACTTATGAAAATGTAAACAAAATAGAGCCCAATAGAGGAAATGAAAATGTAAGAGAATTAGATTTTCCTTTGGGACATAAAAGGCGATTAGGAGTTTTCACCCGAGAACCCAAAAAGACCCCCCCACAGGCTTTAGGTAGAGGGGGGGGGGCCTTCAAAGTTTAACTTTGACGGCAGCAAAATGCGCCATAAGGTGTTCTGATTCTCAGGTCAGAGGTGACGAGGTCTTCAGAGAGATCTCCCTATTGTCCAAGGTTGGCTTACAGCAGAATAGTAACTTGTTCGCTGTTTATTGACTAGAGTTAAATTACCTGCGGATAAATAGACTGAAAAGCGGCCATTTGAAGTGAGAGAAAAGGGCCTGAAAGGTTTGCATGCCATAATTATATATTTTGATCATTTATATCACGGCCATTTGTTTGCTTTCTGTTTGTCTTTTTTGTTGTGTGACTTTTTGTGGATTGTGGAATTGTCTGTTGTCTATTTGTGAAATAAATGATAGTGTAGTTATTTTTGTCTTGGGAAAATAGAGGTGAACAAATAATTAAGGTTAAACTGTAAAATAAGGACAGTTTCTAGTTTCCGTACCTCATTCTTCCCCCTGACCAAAGCAGGAGTTAAAGATATTAAAAGTTAATGCACAGCTGTTTAAATTAGCAATAAAAAGGATTGATATGAGGTTCTGATATCACAACAAATAAAGTTTAATGAAACAGATTAAACAAATTAACACATCCTCTGCTGAGGAGAAGTTTGTTTGGAATTCTGCAGGTGCAGAAGTTATAAAGGGTACCCAACACTAAGGAAGTAAATTTACTGGGTAAGTTTGAAATTGCGGAATAATTCAATGATTTGTGACAAAGTTCAAATTTTAATCTAAAATTCTTTAAGCTACATCAACTTATTTTTATCTGCTATTGTTTGTGAAAGGGTAGGATAACATCTGATCTGTCCTTCTCCCAGCTCCTTAATTCAGCATGTTGGTAACTTTGACTCCCAGTTTTCCTCCACATGAGCTCATGACGGGTCGACCCTTTTCTGGACCACAGAACGGACCGGACCACTGACCTCTGGCCAGACTGGGACTGACAGGTGACACATTAAAATGACCTACAAGACCTTTTTTCCCTTAGAGACGGCTTTACAGAGGGACCAAGGTGCCTGGAGACCCTGATGGAGGACCATCTCAGCCATCCTTCAGGACGAGGAGGTGTGGCTCAAAGTCATCAAAAGAAAGTGATCAAAGCTCATCAGGAAGGAACCAGGAAAAGCTTCAACAAAACAAATCCGAATAAAGGGGCAGAATAATCCCCTCTGATTGGTTAATTAACACATCAGTAGTCCACCTGATGGGTTGAAGACCAGTTGTTCTTCAGAGAACGTTCAAAATGTCGCCTGCATAAGGGACCAAAATCAACAGAAAGATGAAGACGCCCACCTGAAGATGTCTGACATCAGCTTTGGCTTTTTGATTTTTTAATTATACAACATGAATGAGAAGGGAAATGTGGTGCAATGTGTTGTTTTTAATGACATTTTAGTATCTGAGTGTTTGATATTAGTTTCTTAATAGAAAATAAAGTCCAAGTGTTAGATGACCACCTGATGGCTGATGGTCAGTATTGGCAGAGATTTCTGGATTAGAGAATGAACTCTGATGATCGGGTCTCAGCTACCATTTAATGTGTGCTTTGACTGACCCTGATTCTGAAGAGCTGAACTGAATCTGTGTGAAACATCTTTGTGTTATGATTTTAACATTTTGCATAGAGATTTGTCCTTTTTTTTTTTTTCTTACTATGAGGTTTGTTGCATATAGAAGCTCAGGTTAATAATTTGACTTTTACTTTGTAGACATAAAGGAGTCTATTGTTTGGACTGATTTTACCTTTTTTCTTTCCAGGGAAACAAAAAGGGTAACTGCACTGGAAAAACTATCTAGAAATAAGAACAAATTTCCTAAATTAAGCATATTTACCTATAATTTGAGTAGGTAAATGAGACGATTTGCCAATGGAATGAATATTTTTACTCTTAAAATAAGATATTTAGATAAAATGCTCTTGTAATAAGACAATGCATCTGCATATTCTTATTTTAAATGTCAGAACATCTCAATCCAAGAACAAATGCACCTATTTTAAGAGAAAATAACTCATTTAGATTTTGATTCTTTATGGTGTGATAATGATAAGAATTAAAAATATACATTTTCAACAAATTCATCTTTTACCATGAAAAGTGTCATCATGGTGAAAAACACTTAAATGTTTTTGCCAACTAGGATGTGATTCCAGGGCTCTATTTATTGGCAACATATTTTAGCTATTATAATCTTTTCCATGATTTTTCCATCTATTATAATCATTTAACATTGTCCTATGGCTTGTTTGCAGGTGTGCAATTTTTTATTATTTTTTTTATTTTGGTTCCTTAGTTTTTAGATTTCTTTACATATATTTACAATTTTAGTCTCTTGGTTTTTAGTTTTTTTTATATTCATTAATTTTCCTTTTTTTAATATCGATTATACAAGGATAATATCCTTTTATAATCGAAAGGGTGGACTGTTGTCGGAAAATTTAGATTTCTCTTCTATTATATATTAATTTATCCTATTTACTCACTATGAAAGTTTTCATTCAGTCTGTTTCACCTGCAAGGCCACATAAGGCCCCAGTGTGAGGCTGTTTGTAGACAGAAGAAGCTTCTTCCAATAACATCAGATTCTTTCTCAGGGTTTATTCATAACATGTTACTGTTTAACCAAAGTGTCTGTAATTTGTTTTGACTCTGACTATTTTTCCATTGTTGTAAGTTAGGAGGAACGAACGCTCCCCAGGCAGCATGGGGCTGAATGCTGTGCCATAAGGGCTGTATGATGACCTGTTCTCTCTTTGCAAAAATATGATGATTAAAGTGCCGACTGAGTGAAATCCACCATCTCTGTTTATTTAACTGGGGTGAATAGTTGAATACTTTTTTCCCACTACACACCTCTGGGTAAGAACATCTGGAGATGCTACTGGTGATGTTTAAACCGGCCCTGATTCAGTTACAGGAAAGATTAAAGTCAAAGTTCTCTGAAATGATGAACCATGCTCTGGTTCTGGATCTGTTCATGCATTAACGCAAAGCCTGGATGTTCCTTAGCAGGAAGGTTCTGGGTTCTGATTCCAGACTCTGTTCCTTAGAAAGCAAAAGCTGAAACCATCAGAACCAAAACCTGCCAAACAGATCAGCCCCAACGTTTCATAACAGTGGAGCACGGAGGGGGAGGAATAATGATTTGGGCTTATTTTAGACCATAGTATCTAAAAAAAATCAAATGTGTCCAAACCGGGTTATCAACAGAACAACGATCCCAAACAGAAGAGCTGAGCTACAACAGGATGGCTGAGAAGATAAAGAACTAAGCCGCTGCACTGGCCTAGTCAAAGTCCAGACCTGAACAACAGGAGATTCTACTGACTGCTACAGCCAGTAGCAGCCAGTACGGGCCTCCTGACACTAAACAGAACCTAAAGCCTCGCTTCATCCTGAGGTTCCAAAGTTCAGCTGAACATTCAGACTCAGCTTCCTGGAGCAGAACAGTAGCTTCCTGTTTTGGAAGAAACCTCAGGAACAGAGACACATAACAGAAGGGACACATCTGTCAGATCCATCCATCAAAATGCACCTTTTCCTCCTTGTGTGCACCTTCTTTAATTACTATGCCAATATGTGACCAGTGAAATGCTCCACTGTGAGATCAAAAAAGCTCATCTAATCTCATCTAATCTAATCTATTTAATGTTTCATTCCAACTAAGTTCTCTTTAAGTTTTATAGCAGACTTTTTTTTAGCTTGCTTTTCTGAAAACAATCAGGAAAACCTCTTTAGATGACCTGACCTGCTCATCTTTGACACATTGGACCTCGTGTTTTTCTCCAATGTGAGGCTGCAGGACCTTTTTCACCTCTGCAACCTAAACCGAGAGAAGGAGAGAATCAGAGCCAGAAATATAGTCATAACCACAACAGCGCTCAGCTGTGACAGTAACACTGGAAACTGCCGAATCTGGATGGATCTCTGAATATCTGAAGACTTCTGTCTACAGACGTTTAACCAGTAAATGTGTTTTTCAGTGGAAGAAGTTGGAAAGTACATTTTAAAGAAAAAATGATGGAAATAAAACTTTCAACACCAAAATTTTTTTAAAGAAAAACAAAATACATCCAGGAAAATGTGTTTTCCTTTATGGGATGATATGAATGAGCTAGTCTGTGCTGAAGGGATGTGCAATCATGGTTAAAAAGGATTCAGGAATTTCTTTTACCTTATAGAGTCGTTCACAGGATGGAGTGATACCCACAGCCTCCAGCAGGCTGCAGAAAAACAGTAAAAGTTTGCTTTCTGATGCTAAAAGTGACAAAAATGTGCAGTATCTCCAGTGACCAGCAGGGGGTTGTTTTCGTAATGCTCACTTGTAGATGTCGAATTGATGACGTAGTTTCAGGCAGATCTGGAAGTATTTTAGAGGAGAGTTGAATCCTTCAACACAAGCGGCGCACGATCCGTGTTTGATCCACTCCTCTCTCCTTAGACAGAAAAAAATATTCACCGACATTTAATAAAGGAAGCAAATCTTTATTGTTTCCATATAAAAAAACTTCATCAAACTGAGTTTGTAGAAATGTGTTTCTAAATTAAAGATCGGTTTAGCAAAGAACTATTTATATGTGGATCAATTGATATATCCAATAATTTCTGTTCCCCAGAGTTGTGGACGACTTTACACAAGTGAATAAAGTGAATGTGATTGGTCGTTTATCAAGAGGGCGGGATTGTTGTGGCGGAAGGTTCGCAAGCAAGTTTGATTGTGGCCGGTTTGTCGGAAGCACCCTGCTAACCAGTTAGCAACTTAATGCTAGTAGGTTCCCAATGGGAAATTACACCTGGACCAATTAGCACTAAATTGGTGACTTAGAAACAACACTGTCAAGGAACGCTATGGACAGAGGAAACATGCAAGAGGAGGAGAGTTTAGTGTCGGAGGTCGTGGATGAGTCTCCTCCGTCATACATTTTTTATTTAGAGGAGGAAAGCGGGACGAAGATGTTGTGGAAGAGGACGCCATGGCGGCAGAAGCTTGGTTTGGTGTAGAAGGCTTCCAGCCGTACATGTTTGAGCCCTTGCCTCACAACGCTGCCAGTTCTGTTAGCTCTACGCCTGCTGAAGACACAGACGTCCATCCCCGTAAACACTGGGACGGAACTCAATGGGAAGGAAAAGGATTCTTATTTCTCATTTCAACCATTGCGTATATTAGCTGCGACATATGAATCAAGATGCTATTAAAGAAAAAAATTGATTGACAGATGACCATTAATATACGATTGGCTGAATTTAGGTGTACAAGCTGACCTATAACTAACTGGCCTGCATAAGATAATAATAAAAAAAAAAACATAGATTATAAAACCCCATAGGATTTTTTTTTTAAATAGAAATTTTCGACCTTTTGGGACAATATCTGTCTGATAAAGAGTACATTTATATACATGTCTAAACGCGAATGATTTGACATTTAAATATGATTTCCCCACGACTTTAAATCTAGTCCTGTTTATCCACCCTGTGTTTATGTTGGAGCACTGATGCAACTTTGATATCAGAAGTGGGGGAGGGGACGCAAGTATTTTTTAATATAACTAACTTCAGTGTGTTTGACCATCCAATCACAGACCCGATTCAGTAGCGCTTCAGATGTTTGTACAGTGAGCTTCTCAGAGTGACAGCAGTGATAGCCAATCACACAAGAAAAGACGGTGGGCCTTGTGGGCGTTCTAAACTCAGGGAAGTGGGCTTCAGTTTGAGCTGTGGTTTTCCGCCTGGTCCTAGTGCCTGTGTACTGTAGAAGATTTGTTGATATGTAGTTGACAAATGCAGCCATTCTTTCCAGTTGGAAGGATATGTTGAGCGTATCATAAGTCTCATTGAAAGGCCAAACAGGCCGGCTGCTCTGTGCTCAGATGAAGAAAGGAAATGGCGCAAACAGTGGTGAATATTATAAGTGCAGTTTTATATAATAAAAACATGTGAACAGGTTCATCTTAAATTAATGAAAATAGTTCATTTAAATCCTTAGTGAGTGATATGTGGCGGGTAATGTTTGGTTTATTAAAAAGCTTTTTTCTGTCTCTGTGCAAATGGCGCTAGCTGACATTTAAAGTCAGATTCCAATATCTCTGCAGTGTGAGAACTAGAAAGGGGATATCTTTGATGACGGTATTGCCGCTGAAACGCCTCAAAAAGGAAATTTGCAATAAAACTGTAGTGAGAAATTTTGAAGTTACGATTTTTTGCCTGCTTTGTGTGTTATGGTTGCTAGGCGACAGAGTTTACGCAGAGCGAGGGGCAGTAACAGCTGAAGAAAGCTCGACCTGTGTGAATCCAATAGCCTCCCTGTTTTCACAGCCTCCTTCAGAAGATGCAGCCTCCAAATCCGAACACACCGAAAGGCTTAATCTGAATTGCCTAAATAATGTGGACACTTACCATCGCCCTCTACTGGATAATACAGGAACTACGAAAAACACTGCCCTCTACTGAGTGGATCAAAAGCTACAGAAACACCACTCCCTATGGACAGAGATTTAAATTACAGAAACACCGCCCTCTACAGGCAGGATCTGGATCTGCAAAGCAGTGATCTTCACCAGAAATGAAAATATGTTTTGGTCTTCAGGAGCGATGGCCAGTAATCCAGCAGCTCCCCTTCCAGTTCCTGGAAGAAATGAAGCCGATGTTGATGTTTCTGAGGTGAACTGTGTCTCTAAATCAGGAAACCTGACTCTGGTGGAGAATCACCTGGACATCAGAGCGGAACATCGGCCAGCAGCTGCAGCACCGCTGAACATGAAGAGGCCTGGAAACCAGCAAACAGACAGATTAAGGCACAGGCTGACGATTCCTTTCTGATTTCAGTATTTATACTTAACTCAGCTTTATTCATTAAACACCTGCAGTAAAGTTGACAAATTACTCATCAGTGTTATAAACAGCGTTGCACCGATGCCATTTTTTGGACCCGATACCGATACCCGATACCTGACTGTGCAGTATTGGCCGATACTGATACCATCTGTTTGAAATTGATGTGTGTGTGTATATGAAGAACTGCATACTACCTGGATGTAAAATAATTGCCATCATGGCTTTGTCAAGCTGCTGCCTACCTTTGTGAGGCAGGAAAAAGACTAATACAAAGTGAATCCAGTAGAACTTTTTATCCCCTACCTGGAATGGGTGACAATAGTTGAATAAACTTTTGCCTCTTAAAATGGTATCAGTGCCCTATTTGTTGGTACTCGCCTATACAGACACTAAAATTTTAGTTCTGGATTGCTTCACCACCCTATACCGGTATCGGTATTGGTGCAACTCTAGTTATAAAACAATTTTAAACAGGAAATTAAATGAAAACATTGCTTTAACCAGCAGAATTGATCAGTTAGTAACTAAAGGTGAGTGTATGATGGGTACCAGAGGCCATGGATGGTCCAGCTGCTGATGTTCTGAGGAATCCTGCACAGAGTCTCTTTGGACAGAGACTGAAGGACACAGATTAAAAACAACATGTTAACACACATAACACAAGTTTCACATCTTTGTTGTTTTAAATGCATGTAAAAAGGAGGAAGTTTGGTGTAAAGAAAATGTTAACATTTCTGCCTCGTCATTAAATGGAGTTAAATGAAGCCTCCTTAACATGTCAACTGCTAACAGCCAGTCAGTTGCTCCAGACCTGCTAACTCGATTATGTTTGCACAAACTCACACCCACAACATTATGGAAATAAATCTAGTTTGTTCCTTCTTGTTCCATCCTGGTTCCACAACAGCTGCAGACCAAGGTCCAAAAAGATCTTGTGACCTTAACAGAACACCTTTAGGATGAAAACAAGTGAAGACTTCTTCTGAAGACATCTGACCTCATGCATGGGATTCCCATGAAAACTATTTAAGGAACAACTTTTTACAGGGATGTTTCTGGTTTTCCTTAGATAGAAAACTTTGTATTAATTTGACTGTATGATCTGGTTGAACTGTAAAGTGCCTTGAGATGACATGTGTTGTGAATTTGGCGCTATATAAATAAACTGAATTGAATTGAATTTCTCTCTGTTTGTAGTGAAGATGATGATGATGATGATGATGCTCACCTGGCAGAAGCCCCCCGGCCACTGCAGGGTGAACAGCATGCATTTCCAGCTGCAGTTATGCTCAGAGCTGTGGCGGCCATATTTGTAGTCCTCCCAGAGTTCTACTTCTTGGGTTTCTGAGACATTTGGGAGCAGCAGGATGATAAGCGCAGGACTCAGGGTGACCAGCAGGGGCAGCAGTGAGTGACACATCTCGGTCTGCAGGATGAAAACCATTCATTTCTGAAAACTTAATGCAGTTATTCACAACCAGAAGTATTCATACCCCTGTAGATCTGCTGGGTCTAATCTGTTTATTTGTGTAATAGACTTCACACCGGGCCCATGCTTAAAGACTTTGTGGTTTAATTAGCTTTTTTAACAAATAAGATACATCAGCGAGACCCATATAGTGGCAGTCTGTAGGAGTGGGACTCAAACTCAGAACCTCAGGAGTCCAAGCTCTATGCCCTAACCATTCGGCTGCCACTCAATTAATGTATTTGTTTCTGTCACAACATATAAACGGAATCATTTTACCAGTAGTCCTGATAAAAATTCTGATCCAACCTAATTTTCTGTCTAGAGTCAGATCTGCAGGTCTTCCGGTTTCTTTGGTTAATAAAACAGGTGGTTCAGGAGGTTTGATTCGGATTCTATCTGCAGCAACTGGAGGAAATCTATTCATGAAATTAGTTTAAAATCTGCAGTTTTGTTCATGATTGTGAAGAAAGGGTGAAGAAAACTCACCAGGCGCGTGAACAGAGCTGCCGTCTGTTTCTCTGTAGATGAAGAACTGAAACATTATTTGTCGCAGATATGTTTAGCTGTCTGTGTGCTCCACCTCTCTGGTTCAGGTCATAGCAGAACTTCTGCTTTCACCTCAGCAGCGGCGCCACTCTCGGATGCTAAAAACAAATGCTTTCTGTGACATTTTCTCAGAAAACAAAACTCATATTTCCTGTTAAACACGAACCAAAAGACCCGGGCCGACGCTGTGTGAGGTCCTATGCTGATGGGTCCCCATCGTGCTCCCACTGCCAGCAACCATAACACTGTTATTCTGTCAATACTTAGGAGTCTATTTGTAGAAAAAGAGGGATGGTGGAATTTTTTTTATTTTTGGAAGCATACATAGCCTAATTCATATATTCTATTAACCTAAAGCAATAGGGATGGTATGGTTGTTAAGGTTACAGGTATGCAGGTCATTGACCTTGACCAAAGCACCTTACAATAGAACTGGAGTCAGTCCCTGGACTGGCATGGCTATCACTGCCCCTACACAGTTAGAGACAAATTCAGAGGACACATTTCCCACTGGGATCAGCTTTTGTTATCAGCAAAAATCTTAATCTAGATAAGTCAATTTTTGCATTTGTTCTTAAAAGAGACATTTTGCCAATGGAACAAGACAATTTACATTTAAAATGAAAAAACACAATTGCATTGCCTTATTTCAAGTGCATTTTATCTAAATATCTTATATTTAGTGTAAAAAATACTCATTCCATTGGCAAAACAGCTCATTTGCCTACTCAAGGTAAGGGTAAATACACATAATTTAAGACATTTTTACTTATTTCTAGATCGCTTTTCCAGTATAGTCATGGTAAGCCACTTCTTTGATTTTATTTATTTTGCTCAGGCTACTCAGGGGATGCATTTAGGACGGGGGATGATTTTTAAGATTTTTTTAAGAAGGGGAATGCCATTCCCCCCCTCATCCACCCTAAACTCGAGTACTGCCTGTGTTGGTTTTTGTTGTTTTTGTTTGCCTTTTGGCTATTTTTACATATGTTGTTTAAAAGTTAGTTATAAACCACTTATTATTACCATCTTTATCTAACTTTGGAAAGAAGTTACCAAGAATAAAATCTCTTTTTCAAGAGGAACCTGGAAAGAGCTGGTGATCCAGCTGTATTCTAATGCACCTTCTACTTCTAGTGCATTTGGGTTTGACTATTGACTATTTTTATTTCTCACATTTATCCCTATATTTGCATCCTTTTTAAATTTATTATTTATTAAATTCATACCATTTGTTTTAATTAGATGTAGATTTTTGTTCATGCTGAGTAAAAGCAGCATGTAGCCTGATCAACAACAGACCTCTGTCAGTCCGGGTTGGACAGAACACCTCTGATGTCATCACCCTGAGCACAGGCTCCCCTCAGGGCTGCGTCCTGAGCCCCCTGCTGTTCATCCTGATGACACATGACTGTGTCTCCAGGTTCACCACCAATCACATCGTGAAGTTTGCAGACGACACCACGGTGGTGGGCCTCATCAGAGACGACAACGGCCAGAACTACAGAGAGGAGGTGGAGCAGCTGGTGGACTGGTGCAAAGACAACTGTCATGATTGGTTACAGAGTAAACCCAATATGCAGAACACACACGGAGGCTGATGAAAAGTTTAACAAGGTTTATTGAAACACAAGCACATGAATATTGCACTGGTACTGGAACTGGTCTGGGGGCAGGTTCACTGGAGTCTGCAGGGATGACAGTTCAGTTAGCAAACGGACTGATGAGTTATGAGTCTTAGATATTTCTGAGGAATACCTTGAAGGAGTCCGGGTTTCTCTTTGAGAGAGGAAACTGTTGGGTCCAGAGACTGTTTGTTCAGCAGAGTTCAATAATCGCTTCAGCGTCTTACTTCTGACTTTGAGGGCAGACCTTGATTTGAGTTTCCAGCTCTTAGCCAAGAGCTGCAGGGGAATCCACAGAAGAGTCTTCAGGTTTGGCTCACGAGGGTAGGCTCGGCAGGTTAAGCTCATCCAGAGCTTCAAGGAGGGACAGGATTCCTGTGAGGCAAAAACAAGGAAGAGTTAGAATCTTATCTCACCAAGAGATAGCTAAGATTCTCAGGTTTACTAGGCTCAGGTCGCTAACCAAACTAGATCAACACTGCGGCGTTGAAGCAAGGTCTGAAGGCAGGTTATATAGCGCTGGGTCTCTGATGATGAGATGCACCACAGGTGTGTTGGAGGCTCAGCTCAGGAGGACCCACGGCGCACTCTTCTGGAGGAAGGTGGTACAGCTCCAGATCCCAACAACAACAGCCTAATCAGGGACGTGGAGAAGACGAAGGAGATCATCTTGGACTTCAGGAAAAACCGTCCTAACCACGCTCCACTGCTCATCAACAGCTCAGCTGTAGAGGTGGTAAGCAGCACCAAATTCCTGGGGGTGAACATCACAGACTCCCTTACCTGGAATGTTAACACCACCTCACTGATTAAAAGGGCACAGAAGCGCATGTACTTCCTGTGGAGGATGAGAAGAGCCCACCTGCCCCAACCCATCCTCCCCACCTTCTATAGAAGCACCATTGAGAGCGTGCAGCTGTCTCACTGTGATCAGTGAGAAGAGAAGTAAGAACAGAAAAGATCATTAAAGACATTTCATCCCAGCACTGCGTGTCCCGAACCCATAACATCATCAATGACCCCTCACCCCCCCCACCATGGACTGTTCTCCCTGCTGCCCTCTGGGAAGAGGCTTCGAAGCATCCAATGCATTCTAGCAGATTCTACAACAGTTTCTTCCCCACTGCAATTAGACTGCTGAATGTTTTGTAAAATAGGGTTTATTGTATTGTATTTTGTTATATAACATCATTGTATATATAAATATATATATATATATATATATATTAGGGATGGGACGATTTATGAAAACCGTCTGAACCGTTCGGTTCCACTGTCTCGGTTCGGTTCGCGTGTGTTTCGTTCGGTTCATGTGCAGCTCCTTTTTCTCAAAGGGGAAGCGATTACACTCCAGAGCAGAAGGTGGCGGTACTGCGACCAAAGCCAACCACCAGTAGTAAACAAGAAGAAGAAGAAGCAAAGCAGCGTAGCCAGGTGTAGCAGAAAAAATCAGTTGTTGTGGAGAATTGTGTCGGAATGGCGAGTGGGAAAGAACAGGAGTTGGAAGACGCGCCAGCAGCACTTTATAGGTCTGCTGTATGGGACCACTTTGCATTTAGAGTGACCTACGATGACGGCGGAAAGAAAGTTGTGGATAAAAGTGCAACAGTGTGCAAGCATTGTGCAACACGTTTTGTTTATGCTAACAGCAACATGACCAACATGTCATGCTAACCCAGAAATCCCTCATACTCTTTCAGCGCTCCGCCCCGCTGCGCTCCAGACCGGCTGCTCAAAGCAAAGCCTACAGCCTCCACTGTGGCTCCCGTCCGCTCCCCTCTGAGTCCCTTGGAGATGGTAGAGAGCATGCGCGAGATGATTAAATTCAAAGCAGCAAAACATACGGAAATGATCCAGGGTTTCCGCGGAATATTTAAAATAATTTTTATAATTATATAATAAAATAAGTTTTCCCTGGTTTTCCCTGGTTTTCCCTGTATCTCTGTTCAGCTCCATTCAGGCTTATTAGTCTCCATCTCTCATCTCCCTGCTGAAGCTCAGCTTCAGCTGTTCTACATTTCCCCCTAACTACTAACTCCTGTGTTCTAAGTCATGCTTCCCCCTCCCTCAGTTTCTGAATTCCTTGTGTTCCCTGCCAGAATCGTCTGCTCATCTGCCATGTCCTCCAGTTTCCTGGCACATCTTCCGGTTTGTCTACCTGTGCTTTATGTCCTGTTCTCCATGTGCAACCATTTGGTAAGTCTCTAATTTAATCACCAAAATCCTGATGGTGGCTGATTGTATTGTGGATAACTTGGTTCTGAATGACAACCACCAGAGTTTAATTTAGACTTTGCTTTGATCATTTACAACTTTTCCTATTAATCTGTCAGATTTTCCAAGTTTTTTCTTAATCTCTGTGTTAAAAAACATGTTTTCTTCTCCAAACATTCAATCATGGCTGATAATCTGAGTTACTGTGAGTGGTTTCGTTATAAGAGGTTCCAGAAACCCATCCATCCATTATCTGACACTCTTGTCCGGAGTGGGGTCGCAAAGGGTTCTGGTGCCTATCCCCAGCAGTCAATGGGCGAGAGGCGGGGTTCACCCTGGACAGGTCGCCAGTCCATCGCAGGGCAACACAGAGACAAACAGGACAAACAACCATTCACACACAAGGAGAATTTAAAGAAGCCATTTAACCTAAAAGGCATGTTTTTGGACTGTGGGAGGAAGCCGGAGTACCCAGAAAGAACCCACGCATGAACATGCAAACTCCATGCAGAAAGACCCCAGGCCAAGAATGGAACCCAGAACCTTCTTGCTGCAAGGCAGCAGGCTACCCACTGCGTCACTGAGCAGCCCGGGTTGCAGAAACCGTTCCTCTAAAATAAGGATGGAAACTTTCCAGTTCTCCCATAATGGTGTGATGCCATGAGCCATGATATTAAGTTTTAACATTGGTGGAGCAAAATACTTCTCTCTGCTCTCCAAAATTAGCTGCAAACCCCTCTACAAAACACTCCGAGAGACACAACACAGGAACGTGTGATACCCCCTTTGCTAACACCAGCCTTATTCTCTTTGCCTGTGGACCAGAGTGGAGGGAAACCCATCTGCAGCAGCCAGCAGAGCAATTAACTGATCTGCTGGCTGTTTCAGAACCAGATTGTTGCTCAACAACTTGGGGTTTTGATGATTTCTGATCATTTCATCTGTTTTCTGTTGTGCAAAGCAGGCTAACAGAAGCTAATAGCGACCATATGGGAGCTTGCCAAATGCCGCCATGTTTTGAGCTGTTGCTAAAAATACATTTAAAAACGGGGTTCTACTAATATAATAATGCTATAATGCTATCGTGTTTCCTGCTTATTACAGTTGATATCACCAAAAAGTCATTTAAAACAAGTCTTCTTGTGTCCACTAGATACTAGCTCTGTAGTCTGGTCATTCTTGTCACGGTTACTGAGGTAACACACACACACCTGGATTAATCAGTTTATCCTCTAACGAAAGACAGGAAACAAAGGAGCTGGCCATAGTTCTGGAAGTGGTGGAGTCGGACCTTTAACCCCTTCACTAAAAGGTTATTGATTTCTGATTTAGGCAAATCATTGAATATTCACCTAATAATATTTTATTTACCTTTATCTGCATTGCAAATTGGATGGCATTTCTGTCATGATCTGCCCTGATAGCTGGCCTTAATTGTTCATGCCTTTCTCCTGCCTAACTCTGCCTGTTCTCCAATTATCAATAATCGTATCCACCTGCGTCTGTTCCTTTATATTGGGCTCAGTTCCAGCTATCGGGGCCAGATCATTGTTTGCTGTCTGTTTATTTAATCCTGTTAGTCTGTCTGTTTAGTTAGTTTAGTTTTTTCTGTGGCGGCCAGCGGATTGAGACGGTTTTTTGTGTCTGTCTTGTCTCCTGATCGTGTCCAAGTCCTTCTCAGCAAAGCCCTCGGGGTTTTGGCTCGGAACATGGAAAGGGTCAGTTTTATTCCTGTAAGCCTGGTTCCTAAGAGGAGACCAGTTTAAAGTTTCCTGCAGAAATTCTAGTACAACGTCTTGTCTCTGTTCTCTAAGCCACTGAGCCTACCTGTCTGCATCTGTGCGTGTCTCTGTGGGCACACTTCTGGACACGTCTGACTCTGGACTCCGCCCTGAATGCTCTGTGGATTCCTGGTAGTTTGGATCCTTCTGCTCCTGTTTGGGTTGGAACTCTTGATCAGTTGTAGACTCTTTGATTCCTGGACTGTTCCTGCCTGCTCTGTTCTCTCCTGACTTGGCTCGGCTTCCTGCAATATTTCCAGGGCTGCAGCATCAGGGACACCCTGGGCTATGCACGCCGCGTCTGGTTGGCAGCCCATCGGCTGGATCGCACACCTTTCCAAAGAGATGGACTGACCTGTGAAACCATTTAAGTGACTGCCTAAGATTATCCTCTTCTGTCTTCTGTCTTCCAATTGCTTCATGATAAATGTTGGCTCGATCACCTAATGCATAAATCTGTGTCACATAATTGAACTGTTTATTGATGACTTTTTTCAACCGTTTTAATTTTATCATTGTGTTTATTGTAGTTCATTAGTTCAGCTGAATTCCAGTAGTTTTAGTCAAGACTCCTAAGTGAAATATATTTGACTTGCAGCTGAATTATCTTTTGTTAATAAATTCTTATACTTTTTATGAGAGTTGTTGGGAATTCTTTCCATATATGTGCAGAGTTTACTGTCTGACCATGATTTGAGCTTGAATCACACTTTCATTTGTTTTCTAAACACACAGCCAGTTAGCATGTGTTTGAGAACATATGACAGTCCAAATGTTATTTAAATAGAGAACATACACTCGCAAACCACATTTATTGCATAACAATGGCAAAAGATCACTTCATCAACTGGTTTTTATTTGAAACTTGATTCTACCAAGCAGCAGGAAGGCCTTGGGTTAGAATCCTGGCCTGGAGTTTGTATGTTCTCTCTGTGCAGTCTGGGTTCTCTCTGGGTACTCTGGCTTCCTCCTGCCTAACAACAAGGTTTGTTTGTTGTCAGGTTGTGTGTATCCACTTGGTTATGGGTCCCTGTCAAGGATGTACCCAGCCATCACCGTGTGACACAGCAGGCATCAGCCCCACTGGAATCCTAGATGAGCAGATAGAAGCAAAATATTTTTTTCTCATTTATTTTTATTCATTGGCTACATCATGAAAGCAGGATGTGACTCCACTGCAGGTGCTTTATAAAAAAGAAAAGCACTTAGTTTACAGGAAGTGAAACCAAGCATGGTCAAGGTCAGTGCAACAACGTTCCACAAAGAGTCCTGCAGGTTCACTGAGTGTTTAAAAGCTAAAGGCCATGACCTTGTTTTAAGCTGCCCTGCTGTGCAGCATGCAGGTGCCTCGAACAGAAACAGAAAGTCTCATTCTGCTGCAGTCAGAATTTAATCCAAACCATGTCTGCAGTGAGATAATCTCAGGTTGACCTGGGCTGCAAGCAGAAACTTCCTGCAGGCGGTTTGGTCTCAGCAGCTGATCGTAGTTTGGCAGACGTTCAAAAACACTCCAACTGCCAGGAGGTGTGTGTCTGTGTTTGTGTCCTTGTGGGGGTAAAATCAGGCAGCGCAGCTCGACATGAATCGCCTTCTGGTGGGTAAAGCTCTTATTTTCTTCTCTTTTCATGTCTTGTGGGCATTTTGAGCAGAACTCAGATCAGACCGACAGCTGACCGTGTCTGACCTCTGGGGTCGTTGTTTGCGTTGTTTGTGCGTCTGGAGTGTGCAGAGATATGATCCATGTGTACAGACAGAGCTGGAGCTCTGGTTGCAGGGTTGTCTTTTTTAAATTATTTTTATGGTTCAGCCACAGAAACACACACCTGCTGCTTACCTGTCGGCCTGGGAGTGCAGCTCAGCACGTACGCAATGACAGCGGTCTCCCTGTTCCTCCCTCAACAGGTTATTTTCAGCCTGTAGATTAATCTAACACATTAGGAGTCTATTAAGGGAAAGCCCTGTGTTAAAATGTGTCACCTTTACTTAAACAGTGAGTTTTACTTTCTGTTTGTAGCGGTAAATTTGTTTTGTTCCACATTTGTTTGTCTTCACCCCCCCTGTATTTATGCTGCAGAGAAGGTCGTTTCAGGACAGTTTTCGCTCCTCAATAAATTTCCAGTTTCTTATCCTGGCATCAGAAAAACTAGCAGTTGTTCTGGGAATATGAGTCTTTGAAGAGTTCCAGTTCTCTGTGTTGGGAAAGGATCAGACCAGCAGATGCATTCTCCTCTTCCTCAGCCAGGACTATGGAAGGCAGTTCTCCATTTTCTTAATAAAAGCTGACTGAGGGGTGGAGAACTCCTCCAAATGCTACAGCTGTTTCTGACCAAAGAGCATCCTACTGTTCCTTGGAATATAATGGAAGCCTGGAAGGATTCAAAACAACTAAAACCAAAATCTTTCTAAGAAATCCATCATTTTAAAGTTGTTTCTCCTACAAGTAACCTGTTAAACTGCAGATTATTATAAAAATAAAGTGAGAAAAGGATCCTAATCTGTTTTTAAGCTTCTTTAGGGCTCTACAGTATCATTAAGAATTTTTTTTTTCTGCGGGGGGAATAAAACATTTCTAACTTCTTTCTGGTTTGTTTTTTATGGAAAGTAAATCTGTTTCTGCTGCCGGCTTGCAGCTCTGCCTGTGATCTGATCCAGGACCTGTTGGGTTAACTTCTGTTAATCATCATCTCATGTTAACAAGGCAAAGTCCACCATTCCTCTAACGTCAATAAAGGACGAACTTTTCATCTAAATATGTTAAAAATAAAGTCAACATTTTTTTATTCAAACCTCCTTTCTTATAAAATAAGAACTGAAACCTTCTTAAAATGCTTGTTTACATTTAGAACACCTCCTGCTTTAATTTTCCTGCTCATGGATGTAAAACTTAGTGTTTCTGATGATCATCTGTGTAAAAAGCTAAGTTTCTGCCTTTATAAGATATAAATGTGATTCTGTTTCCGACACTAAGCTGCAGTTTATGTTGGAAGCTTGTCCTTCACCCCTCAACTGTCCCAAGGAGAATTCTTCATTCTTCTCCCTGATTGGTTCAGGGGTCATGTGGCGAGGATGCGATTGGTTCTGGGTGTAGGCAGCCCCGCCCTCAGCTGTCCACTGTAACCTTGGGCAGAGCAGACAGAGCCCTGCAGCTCTTAAAGAGACACAGCAGCTAGAGGCAGTTTCAGCTCTCTGAAGGTCCAGCCACTGCTCTGGACTTTGACTAGGACATTCCATCGTCTTCCTTTTATTTCAGCCATTTTGTTGTAGATCTGCTGCTATGTTTTGATTCTAAAGTCCGGTTTGGACCACAGAGTCATTCTGCATCATGGATGTGGAAACAAAGAGTAAATCCTTTTAAATGATGTTCTCAAACTAACAAATTAGGATAAACACAGAGAACACTTTTGCCCACTTTGAAGACTCCTGAAAATTTTTTCCTTACCTGAAGTTTTTCTTATACTGTCATGATTCCTTAAACTATGGATGCATCTTTAATCTCTGATCTATCTTGAAATGTCCCATTACATCAGATCACCAGGAGATCAAGCTCCAGCTGAACCTTTCTTCAGGTTTCTGTCTTCTGAACGTTGAATGTTCTGTTCGGACCGATCCACTTTCCCTGAGGTGTTCTGTCGTCTATTAAGAGGATCTAATCAAGTTTCCGAAACTTGTGAAAGTCAGATGCTTCCACTCCAAGCTTCAGCCACCCTAAAACCAGACAGTGTTTTACTAATGATTTACTTCAGAAAGCCCTGAAACTTTAAACTCTAGGAATGCATAAAGGAGCTTTAGTGACAAATAAGATCAGATTTATCAGAGCAGCTGCATTTAGGGCTTAGACTCTGATGGGAATTGAACCCACAGCCCCTGAACAGCTCTCCCAGTGTATAGCTGAAGGTACTTTATTTAACACAAAGTTACAAGAAAATATTTCAAAGGAAAAACCTCGCTCTGTGGCAGAAATCTTCTGACCCATTCAGGGTTCTGATGGTGATCCGGTCAAGTGTCAGAGGCTCTAAATCCTGCAGCTGGGAGATGGCTGAGGATTCTAGGAATGAGGAAACCAGCAGGCTGAACCTGGATAGCAGGACAGGGCATTGGGTGCTTCTATAATCTAACACTGCTGGGATTTGAACCCACAGCCTCAGAATTTTCCTCAGTTGTTAAGCAATGCTGAAGAAAGGATGGATATCTCTGCTGCTCTCCTATACACATTAATGAAAGTCCTTTCAGTCCTTTAGCTTCACTGCTTTCCTCCTGCCACAGCTGTTCCATGATTGGCTCAGTCAGTCTGCCAGGTTCTGCCTGAGGCGGTACTGATGACTGATGTTTGTCATTCAGAAAGATCTCATAGAGGATGTGAGAAGTCTGTGATATGGTCCAGATCCTGTGAGACAATCGCAAATGTAAATATGAGGAACTGGGATGAAAGAGTGATGCAGGAACAATTTAAACACTTAAAAACTGAAAAATGTTGACATGATGTAAAAGATTACAACCAGGAGGAAGAAGCATCAGACGATCAGAAAGTCAAGTAAACGTTCATTTATTATATTATTGTCAACATTTTTATCTATACAGGTTAGTTTTTTTAGACTTAGGCCAGATCTCAATTCACATAAACAATTATAAACAAATTATAAATTTATTAAAAATATAAATTATAAATGTCAAAGTATCTTCCGTAAGATGATACAAAATCAATTTACTTTTTGTGACACGTTTAGGCAGAGATCAAAGAAGCTTCTTCCTATTAGCAAATAATATAATAATCGAGATATAAATCTCACATCCGGTTCACTTCCTGTTTACTCCCTGTCAGCCAGGCACGATTTGACGCGTTATTTTTCTCTGCTGTTATTGGTTAAGACCATGTGGGTGTTGGGCTTTGTAGCCAATGAAATAAGGTTTCGATCGAGCCCAAATGTGTTTAGTTTATTTAAAGGGGTACAACATTGCAGGCTTGTGTGAGAGAGAAACACAGACACCAGCAGGTGGAGCCATTGCACGCCGCTCCAAGCCGACACCAAAGTTCAAACCCCCACAGCTCTGGAACTGTTATAGCTAGATGTCTGAAATTTTCTGCATTTGTGGTTGATATGATGTAGAACAAATATAACACACGAGACCTGCCTATTCTTAAGCATGCCTTTATTACTGCTGTTCAAAAAACAACTATCTTTATTACTGCTGTTATCATTTCCGTGAATAAAAAAAACAACTTTGAGTCATGTTTGAACTGATGCAGCTTGGTCTGTGTTCTACTCACCCAATATTATTTATATATTCAGAAACTAGAAGGTGTTAGCTTTCAAATAATGTATTGCACATGTAATTTGGGCTTACTGTTCCTAAGTTATTTGCTTTTCCATTTGGGTATGCAAAATAGTTGAGAATTTCCCAAAATGAGGTGGATGTTAAGAGGTTAAGTTTATGGAGTGAATTTTGTTCCATTATTTTTCCAAGCAAAAAACACATTTTGTACATTGAAAAAAAAAATCAGAAAGGAAACTTTGAAACATGTGTTAATAAGTAAAAAAAAAAGGTTTGAGAGCAGCTTTGCTGTGTTTGCAGATTGTATTGTAATTGTATTGTAATTTTTGTATTTCTTATTTTAAATTTCTTCTTTATTTCCTTACATATTTTTCTTTTTTTTTTAAATCCCTATTTTTCAGATTCAGTTTTATGAATGTTATTCTTTTCAAGTCAGGTTTTACTGTTCACATTCTCTTTACTTCTATTGGACGACATGGATTTTATGCTGTTGTTAAGTAACCACAAACAACGTGTTTGTATTGGGCTTGAAGTGAAGAGAATGTAATCTTTGATACGTAATTTGAAAAGAATGCAATTCTTAAAAGTCAAAGAAATAAAAAAAAACTGAAAAAAAAATTTTAGAATAATAAAATCAAAAAATTGATTAAAAAAAAAGAATAGAAATCATAAAAAACTTAAGAAGACAGCACCACAAAGACGATGAAAATGTAAGGTCTTTTGAACTGTTGTTGGACTAAATTGAACTTGATCTAGACTACAATGGACTGACCAGATTTAGCCTAAAAACTAACCTCTCACAGGTGTAACTTTCTTAAGGACTGGTATAGACATATCCCACCAACTTTGGCCTGGCCTGGAAAGTCCCAATCAATAATTTCCTTGAATTGAAATTAATCCAAACTCTACATCCTAGGGATGCATGATATCAGGCACGCTGGGAGTAATTTTGAACAGAGGGTGCTGTGAACATTTTTTTTTGACAAAAGAGCTATGAGCCTATAGGCCTGTTTAAAAAACAATAAATAAAAATAAATAAATAAATAGAGTGAGATTTACTACTTTATTGTCATATACATTTCAGTGCACGCAACCAGGGTAACACGCAGACATCTATAATCACGATTAATAATGAATCAGTTCTCAGGTGAGAATATGCGCTATTAATTAAAGTTGTAGGGAAGTCAAATTTAAATGTCAAATCATTCTGGCTTAAACATGTACTGTATATAAATGTACAATTTATCAGACCATGTTGTTCCAAAAGTTAGAAAATAAAAAAAAAAAAAAAAAAATTCTGTCTTAAAATCTGTGTTTTTATTTTGTTATCTTATGCAAAGGTCATCTGTCAATAAAATTTTTCGGTCATAGCATCTTGATTCCTATGTCGCAGCTAATATACGCAATGGTTGAAACAAGAATCATTTCCTTTCCCATTGAGTTCCGTCCCAGTGTTCATGGGGATGGACGTCTGTGTCTTCAGCAGGCGTAGAGCTAACAGAAATGGCAGCGTTGCGAGGCGAGGGCTCAAACATGTACGGCTGTAAGCCTTCTACACCAAACCAAGCTTCTGCTGCCCTGCCGTCCTCTTCCACAACATCTTCATCCCCACTTTCCTCCTCTAAATAAAAAATGTATGATGGAGGAGACTCATCCACAACCTCCGACACAAAACTCCTCCTGCATGTTTCCTCTGTCCATAGTGTTCCTTGACAGTGTCATTTCTTAGTCACCAATTTAGTGCTACTTGGTCCCAATGGAATTTCCCATTTGGAACCTACTAGCACTAAGTTGCTAACTGGTTAGCAAGATGCTTCAGAGAAACTGGCCACAACCAAAATGCTTTCGATCCAATAGGACCTGCTGCACGCTGTCAGATCATCCTCAGTTGCCTCAATGTTCTATTTCGGAGTTCTTCAACATGGGGTCTGCGACCCCTATTGAGTCCTTGGAGGTTCTGCATAGGGGTCGGGAAAGTTTTGGTTGATTAGACTTTTTTTAATAATCCCCCAGCAATTTTTTTCCATTAATTGAAATGTCTTTAAATCAACATTAACATGAATTCAACACACTGTAGTAAACCGATAAATGTAGGCAGAAGATGTCTTTCAGTCATCAATGCACACATTTAGCGACACACAGGAGCCCTTTCAAGCTGGGTACCGTTTCATTCACAACACCTGTCCCATCAACCAGGAATCAGAATCAGAAATACTTTAATAATCTCAGGGAGAAATTACTTTCGTTACATTACTCCATCTGTAATAGAGTGACTATAGGACCAGTTTGATATAACACAATTTCACACAATATATATAATTAGGGGGTCCCCGCTCCATCTATCCATCAGGTAGGGCGCCTTGGCCTGGAAAATGTTGAAGATCCCAGTTTTATTTTATAAGAAAAATTAGGGCTTAAAACCACAGAGAGCTGAAATGCTCTGGTTCTGTCAGCTGCAAGCAGCCTGGAAAACTGAACTAATACCAGAGAGTCAGTTTCTCTTCCTGGATCACTTATTTAACTTGTTGTAACCTTTGAATGTTTGATTTGAGAAACAACTGAAGCTCTTCATACCGAAGCCAGGAGACTTCTAAAACCAGATCATAACTTCAGGGGTTAAGTACGGAAATGAAGACAGAGGCAGAGGTACTGTGGAAGGCTGGGGACAACCAAGATGATGTAACAGGAAGACGAAGGTGAAAAATATAACAATCCAAAAAGATGTCCTCCATGTCCACAGGAGCCTCACAGCACTTATTTAAAGGGGACAGGAAATCCAAAATAGTCAATTACATACAAATTATTCAAAAGTTTAGGTATTTTGAAAAAAAAAATCCCTGATACTTAGAAATATTAAGATATTTAAAATGAATGATATTCAACAATAAATTGACGATTAAAGGCAGTAAAACAATCCCAAAACACAAAAACTAAATAGAACTTGATCTGAGAAGCAACAACAAAGATCAACAGTTTTGATCACATAAAGGGACCTTAGATTTCTCTAAAACTGTGATTGTCTTTGATCTGTGGTTGTGCTATTTGCTGAAAACATTGAGCCAAACCAGCCACGAAGCCACGGCCAAAACTTTTCTCCCTCTGAATTCTTTAGCTCATCCATCATCACATCAGCCCTTTGTTTTCAGGATCATCCAACAGCATGCAGGTTTTGCTGCAACAACAGGGGAGTTATTTTCTATGAACTCTATTACAAACACCTGTTGCATATTTTTCTTTTATAATAAATCACAGTCGTAAAACCAGACCAGAGAAGCTCAACAAAAGAAATATTTGATGTGTTAAGAATAGTGCTGTCAATCGATTAAATTTTTTTAATCGCATCAATGCCTGAGTTAACTCGCGATTAATCGCATTTTAATCGCACATTTTTTTTCTGATTGAAAATCATTTAAATACTCTCGATGACATACAAAAAATACATACAGGCTAGGTTTGTGCCAATGTTCTTTTTTTTATATGAAAACAGGTCACAGATACTGATTTATGCCATAGAAACATATGGCAAGAAGATGGGGAGGCATGTAGCAAAAAATAACAAATATGTAGCCAAAAAAAGGCCCTGAAAACAGGCTGATGTAAAAGACAGTCTTTACAGTCAATACAGTCTTTTGAACAAAGACAAGCATTTTACCCTACTGCTATAAAATGTAGTAGAGTTAACATTAGATGTTAATTAACCAAGATAATAATGAACAATTTTCAATCAATACATCAAAATCAATAGACCGACATCACTAGATGGAGGTAGTCTATGCTCTAGAAAGTTACTTTTCAGCCTCTTAACAAAAATGAGAACACACACACACACACACACACACACACACACACACACACGCGATACTGACCTGTGGCGTACACAGACAGCAAGAGTGCCGTAGCAGATTCCATTTCACCTCAGTAATCTGTTTTCTCAGCGTATTTCAGGTTGCTACTAGGCAGCGGACACTCAACTTGTTTGTTGGTGGTGGGGCTTAAAGAAAAGGCACTAGCGTCACCCAGTGTATGAGCGTCTTTTTCCCTTGAGAGGCTCCGCTCTCGATGCCTATGAGAAATGCATAGACTGGGGGGAAATAGCCCCGCCTTCTCGCAGGCTGCAGCGGGATATACTTGGAAAATTGTACCATAAAACCACATAGCGTTAATCTCACGTTAAAAAAATTATCGCCGTTAAAATGGCCTCGCGTTAACGCGATAATAACGCGATAATTTTGACAGCACTAGTTAAGAATAAAAAAAAATCCATGTCTTGACTCCCATTGACGTTCTATGCCCTAACGTTAGCTTCACTGTTTATACAGATACCTACATTTATAATCAGTTTCCATCTACTGTTAAGCTTTTTTATTTTGTGTCAAGCTTTGTTTTATTGTTTTTGAATTGTCAGTTGATAGCAGTGATGTCTGTTGGGTATGAAGAATCCAACAGCTATTACAACAGCTGTTGGCCTGAAGTTACTTTGCTAACGTTGCTAACAACAACCAGGAAGAAAACACTGAAGGCAGGATTTCCAAAATGTACCTGGAGAGTAGTTTACGTGTGTGCCTTTTGAATAAGACTGCTCGTATGAGTATTTATTAGGTATGATAAATTATGGCAGATTTCTCACTGGACTCATTGTCAGGTTAGGCGAAGCAGGCAATGATTATATGGAAAAACGATTAAATCGCCTTTTGATAAAATTATAAATCTAATGCATCTTTTTTTAACAAACGTGTATTTTTACGTTTCTTTTTTCATGATTTAGGGGGATTTAGAAAAAAACAGCAGTAAAAATGTCTGCTTTTTTTCAGACTTTTATTGCTTTAAAATGGTAGCAAAATCATATTTAAATGTCTAATCATTCTGGCTTAAACATGTATATAAATGTACTCTTTTTCAGACGATGTTGTCTCAAAATTTAGAAAAATTTCTATTTAAAAAAAAAATCCTCTCTTATAATCTGTGGGGTTTTTTGTTATCTTATGCAGGCCATTTAGTTATATGTCAGCTTGTACACCTACATTTGGCCAATCATATATCAACGGTCATCTGTCAATCAAAAATGAAAACAAAAAAAAGATCCTTACTCCGATGCCAAAAGCGGAGAGTACATAAGCCCTGTTACACTACCCTCTGAAAACCGATCCGTGCAGAGCTTGGATAAGTCAACGGTGCCGAGCTCGGGTTCCTTACGACCATTTATACACCACGCTAGCACAGTTCCTCGCCTCCTAGTGACGAGCTACGGTACTACTGCTCTCTAGAGGTAGACAAGCAAACCAACATGGTGGAGCACGTAACATTCAGGAAGTTTGCGGAGAAAGGCAGCCTTTGGTGAATTACATGACAGTCGCCTTTTGGAAGAGAATACGACAAACGATAGTCTAATCAGGGCTTACAGACGCAGGAAAAGACGACAGGCGCAGAGGTTCATCATACTGCTAAGCAGAATCATCACTGAAAATCGTGTGGCACGGTAGGGAACCTAGTGTTTTAATGAATGTCTGAAGTTTCATGATTACGGAGGCTGACTGTAAGGAGATGACGCGGTCTGCTCATGCGCTTTGTTATCTGAGAACAAAACCAGAACTGAACCTTGCCAAGCCCTAATGATGAACTAGTACACTAGTACACTTTGGTTGTGTCTGGAGGAGTCCAGCGGTTCAGTTGTTAGTGCCATTTACACTGCAAAAAACATCTAAAAATGAGAAAAAAGGTCTTAAATTAAGTGTATTTACCATTAATTTGAGTAGGTGAATAAGATAATTTGCCAATGGAATGAGTATGTTTACTCTTAAAATAAGATAATTAGATAATATGCACTTTAAATAAGACAACGCAATTGTGTTTTCTTATTTTAAATGTAAATTGTCATGTTCCATTGGCAAAGTGTCTAGATTACCTCCTCAATTCAAGAAAAATGCACTTATTGCAAGAAAAAATTACTTATCTAGATTTCAATTTTTTGCAGTGTACACTCAACAGTTATCTCGGATATCGTGCTCAAACCAATCTATGCATGGTTTTAAAAGGGTAATGGGGCTATAGACACAACCAGAGGTCAGTCAGATGATGTATCTGCTGAGTTTGATCTGATCTGGTTCTAAATTGATGTCTGGGTTTGTCTGTTTTTCCAGAAAGTTCCCATTGTGGCCAGCCGGGCCTTCAGCAGCTCCAGCAGACACCTGAGGAACAAAGTTCCTGAGGCCCAGAAAGTCTTCCAGGTGAGACCTCCTCTGAGTCTAATCATCCACCCTGTAGCTTTTCTCCAAGCAGGTTTAACAGCCTGATGACCAGTTCAGTTCCTCAGGTACACCAGTAACTGAGCTGATCCAAGTTCAAAACTGATCTGGAAGACATCAGAAAGAGATAAAAAAGTTAAAATGCTGTACACGTGGGGGGGGAAAAAACGTACATTACAGTGGCATAGAGGCAACACGAATAATAAAAGAGAATAAACATGAATATGATGACATATTACATAATATTAAAAGATAAAATATTAATAAACGCACATAAAAATGTAGGAAAAAATTGGACAGAAGACTGCTCTAAACTCATGTGTTTTTTTTAATCTTGATCTAAAACAATTTATTTGGTTCAGGTTCAGGTTCTGCAGATAAGATTTTGATCCAGTAGAGTAGACCATAAGGAGCTAAGTCGGTAATGTATTTTGGAGCTCAGCCATTCAGTAATTTATAAACTAACAGAAGTATTTTTTAATCTATTCTCTGTGATACGAGGAGCCAATATAAGGACTTTAGAAGTGAGCTGTTGTTCTGCACTTTCTTAGATCTAGTGAGGATGCTGGCAGCAGCTTTCTGGATCAGCTGCAGCTTTCTGATCTACTTTCTAGGCAGATCTGTGAAGACACCACTGCAGGGATCAATTCTACTAACGATGAATGAGGCAGGTGGTCATCTTTCAAGGTTCTGCTGAGACATTAGTCCTTAATCCTGGAGATGTTGCTTAGTTGATAGCAGGCCGACTTTGTTACTGTCTATCTGAGACACTCAAGGTTCAGGTCTGAGTCCATCATTGCATCCAGATTTGGAGCTTCATTGGACGTTTCTAGCCAGAGTAACTGAAGTGGTGTGCTAACTTTTAAACTTTTCCAGAAATTTGTTATGGAAAGCTGTGGGTAAAAGGTACTCCGGTTAAGTAAAACTGAATTAACTGAAGCCAAATTTTGTGTTTTCTTCTTTTGGTCAACACATTATTACTTCAGTTCTCTTTTGATTCATCTGAAGAGAATTTTGACACGTCTATTAATTGATTTTTACTTGTTGCTGTAGTAGAATCATGGTCATCTGGTGACATGGTGATGTACAGCTGACTGTCATCTGCTTAGTTATGGTAATTTATTAAATTCAGTTTATTTACATAGTGTCAATTCACAGTACTTCATCTCAAGGCACTTTACAGAGACAATTCAACCAGATCATACAGTCAGATTGGTTCAGAGTTTTACATCTAAGGGAGACCAGCTGATTGCATCTCCAGTGTAGGAAGACTGGTCTTAAACTGGGGCATTGGCTTATAGGCCCTTTAGCTTTCTGAGCTTGTCAGTGATATGTTACCTTGTGGTTGCTATGGTTACAGGAGGACAACGGGCTGCCGGTCCACATCAAGGGAGGAACTACTGACGTCCTGCTCTACAGGGCCACCATGGCGCTGACCGTTGCAGGTAAGCTCCAAATGTTTCTCTCAATGACTTCAATCAATTGGTCAGAAGAGCTGCTTGAGCAAAGAACAAGCACAGGTTACAGAAAACTTAAAATAAGAAAACATCTGGCTGAGAAGGTGGCCACTTTTCCAGGTTCTTGGAGACCCAGTATCCTGGTGATTCATGATTTAAAAGTCAGCTCAGTTCTTTATGTCCGTGAGTAACTGGGTTCTCTTGGTTTCGGTGGATATTATAAACAATAAAAAGTCATTAAAGGAAAATTCCGGTTTTTAACACTTTTAGCCCCTTTTCTGTAGTGTCCAGGATGAAATCGAATGATCGACACCAAAATTTTGACGATTGGTCCTGTCTCTGCTATTTGGCTCATGCAGAATCCCCCCTGGCTGCTTCAGAATGGCTTTCATAGTGCATGTCCGATAATGTCCTTAAAACAACCTTAAACGTTCTTTTTTTTAAATATGCTACTCACCGGGTCGTCAGCGCTGTTCAATGACGTTCAAAAACAAGTTTCGTAAAGAAAAAACGTTCCTGTAGTGTTTTATTTAGCATTTTGTAAATCCCATTGAGTTCTGTTGGAATAGTCAATATCCCTTCGCCACCGGAAACGGAAAGGGGGCCTGTTTACGCTTAGTTGTAGTCTTTTCGCAAGGCCCAAGTGTTTATGCTTCACTCTGTGTACTCCGACGTCGAGGTGCTAACGTCTCTGTTAAACACTTTAAAAAACTCTGAAAATGGAATACGAAAGATGGATTCTTGAGGAGGACATATTGGACTTTGAGTTTGACGGTACAAACATTGTCGCCAACTAGTGGTCTGGAGTGTGCAACGCTTCAGATTCGAACGGGAAGCGGAAGTTTATAAGCGGTTGTGATGTATCGGAAAAAATAGTTCTGGGATTTACAAAATGCAAAATAAAACAAGACAGGAACGGTTTTTCTTCACGAAACTTTTTTTGGAACGTCATTGAACAGCGCTGACGACCCGGTGAGTAGCATATTTAAAAAAAAGAATGTTTAAGGTTGTTTTAAGGACATTATCGGACATGCACTATGAAAGCCATTCTGAAGCAGCCAGGGGGGGATTCTACATGAGCCAAAAAGCAGAGACAGGAGCAATTGTCAAAATTTTGGTGTCGATCATTCGATTTCATCCTGGACACTACAGAAAAGGGGCTAAAAGTGTTAAAAACCGGAATTTTCCTTTAAATATATTTTTTTTTTTACAAATACAGCTCTTTTCATTATATCAAGTAAGCATCTTGTTGACTTTGAGCTGCCTGTTGGTGAACGTTCATGTTGTGGACGCATATTTTTCCTTAGCCTATTTGTGAGATAAAATATTTTGAGTGTGCTTTTGTTCTGCCTAAATAGGGGTGATTATTTAGAAGTATGTATGCTGGAGTTAAGTTATGGAGTTAAGAGGGGGGGTGACAGAAAGCAGTTGCCTCCCTACTCTAGACAAAGCTGAAGGGAGGGTCATGAGAGACAAGAATGAGTTTACACAGCCTCCTTCATGAGGTGAATGGGAGACCTGTTCTGGGTGTTAATCTGGCTAAAATGTATGTCCTTGATGAATTGAAGCATCTTTTCTTGGGAATAACCAAAATGTTTAAGTGTGAGAAAGATCTTTATGCAGGGGTTGGGTTGGTTCCCCTGGGGAGAGTGTGTGTGTGATTTTGTAAGGTGTAAATGTACGGACTGAAATGCCTCAGTCAGAGAGCTCTATCTCACCATCCGAGGATGTTAAATACATTTGAACATTATTTCTTGCAAGAAATGCCTCTGCCTCAGCTTCGTAACTCCACAATGTACACAGATCAGTTGCTGTCAAAGAGCCAACAGAAGCTTTATCTGAATGGCAGCACGTTGTCAGCACTAACAACATGGCCTCCATGTTCTCTGCAGGAACCTGTTACTCTCTGTATTGGCTGCTTGTTGCCTCTATGCCACAGAAGAAGTCATAAAGATGAAGACGGACAGGATCTGCACCAAGCATTTCTCCAGCATGCACTGATGTTCATGTTCAAACTGCAGAAAATAAAACCTGTTTGAATTTATTTTGTTTCTGTTTGTTTTCTGAAGTGAGAATTAGAGAATTAGTTAGACCAGAGGAAGGCAGTGCCAGGCACAGCTAACAAACACATTAGCTTCTCTATCAGATATTCCGCTAATCGAAATATTAGCTCAGCTAATGTCAGACTACTAAACAGTTAAATAAGTTAGCAACTCAAACTGTGAACTACTAAGGATGGCTCCTTCCACTTGAAGACTTCTGAGGGGCTGAGGGCAGTACTATCAAAAGGGAAAAAAATATTGAAAAGACAGGACTTTGTGTTGCTGTTCTGATAGTTCTAGGTCTAGAAAGGCTTGTATGAGTCTTTATGATCTGATTCAACTCCAGTCTAGATGCCAATATCCAAAAAACTCTAAGACGTGTCTTTGGTCCAGCACACCTTCACAGGGCTGACAAGGTTCATGCATTGAGTGTGACGGTCAGGCAATTTGATTCCCTTTTTACACAACACATGACATTTCAAACACATACTCATAGCTGCTTGCCGTAGTTTGAGTAGCCTAAAGCCTGAGTCACATTTTACTTTCACATAATTTTTAATCTAATTGTTTTCCGTCCTCAAGCTTTTCTTGATGTTTCAGAGATGAGGAAGAAAAATGGAGTGGACTAGACTTTTCAGTTTTTAAGTGGTGGTAAATCTTTCAAAATGCAAGACCATCTGCCCATTCACATGAGGATCCACTCAGACACAACAACACTGAAAGCTGGAGCCTGAGCTTGAGCCGGCATCGGATGAGCCAACATCTGATGCCACTGTCGCCCCACAGTAATGGTCACTCAAAGAAAACGACACCTACATGTTGAACAGCATAGGCTTATCAGCACCATCTGTTGGTTAACTTGCACATTACACTGGTGAGTGGCAAAGAGTGCACCATTCTCACCAGTGGCTGCTACCTGGGACCCAAATAACCAGAGATGGGAAGTAACGAAGTACAAATACTTCATTACTGTACTCAAGTAGATTTTTCTGATATTTTTACTTTACTTTACTACTTATTTTTATGGCGACTTTTTACTTCTACTCCTTACATTTTTACATAAATATCTGTACTTTCTACTCCTTACATTTTAAAAAATTGTCTCGTTACTTTAGTTTTGAATCATTTCAATGGAGTTACCGTTATTATTTTTCACGTCATCAATACCAAATTCAATCTAATTGGATGGGAATCTACGTTGCATTTGACGCACCACTACAAGCTGAATCGACAGATTCGGCGGTATTCATTCGCGGCAAATCATTGCAGCTTGGTGGCGGTGGCGTTAGCATAGTAGTACGGACGACGAGATGATTGAAAATGAACACAACGGAGATCTAGTCCTATTGGCAGACATCCATTTAAAATGTAGGCAACGGCATGAAAAAAGTGGTTTCTACTTTTACTTTTATACTTTAAGTACATTTACAAGCCTGTACTTACTTGAGTAAAGAAGTTTAATCAGTACTTCCACTTTTACCAGAGTATTTTTTAACACAAGTATCTGTACTTTTACTCAAGTACGGAAAGTGAGTACTTTTGCCATCTCTGCAAATAACCATAGTAACCATGAAGAATGGGTTTGCTTATAAAACTAGTATAAACAGATAAGCACTGGGTCATGAGGAAGAAATAGAAATTCAAGCGTAAGCAGACAAGCGTAACATTACATTGACGTTGAAGGCATAGTAAAGGATTTTCGCGAATTTTTCAAAAGACCCGCCCTCTCCACTTTAAAATAATAATGCACATGCACAAACCTGTACCCGCTCCCGAGAGGGAACGACTATTAAAAGCGTGTGAGAGCATGCACGAGCAGCGACGTGAAATGGATTTCTCCAAATAGCATGTCAAACTTTACCTGCCAAGTAGAGGTAAGGAAACTTTGCAACTACGGCATCAGTCGTCTTCGCCATTGCATCAAAGAATTTCCAAAAAACACCCTTATTTTGTTTCTCTCTTCTGACGCCTTTCTTTTTTCTCATTTCGTAGACACATTTTCTCTTACGACCCTCCGCCATTCTCAAAGAAACGCGGTGAGAAAGGTGAGCTTCATTGACTGGCTGAAACCGTATGTTGGTTCCATTCAAGGTGCACAGTCAATATTTTTCGGGGTGTGATGTGTGATCGTATACTACTGAGAATTGCATAATTGTATCTTCTTGGACGATTTATGGAAGTGTCGCCGTATCCTGAACCTTTATCACGTGTTGTACTTTATATGGGGCCCACCCAGATAATGTTGCTTACAGGCCTATTGTTGTGTCGTTACGCCATTGGATCAGAGGCTGTGGAAAGTTGTTTGTTTGTTAGCCATGATTGGACAAATGTCCAAGCCAACAAAGGTCCTTACAGAAGAAGAAAAAGTTTGGTGGAAAATGGTGTCCTGGGGACAGGGATCAATGTGGGCTCGAGAGATACAGTTCAGCACTGTAAAAAAAAAAAAAATCAAAGTTTGTCTAACTAAAAATTTTAAAACAACATACTGTTGAGTTCAGGTCTTTAAATTTATAATTTTATATCAGTTTTACCAAACTACTATTTTACTGTAACTTGGAATAATTTTGCAAACTTATATGAACGTAATGGTGGCTTAGAAATAAGGTGAAAACCTGCAAATCTTAAACTTCTAACTTCAGTATCATGCTTTAGGCTACATTTTAGTGCTAATTGTCCCTCACTGGGGAAATTAATCAACTGCAATAACAGTCTGAGTGTTTTGAACCTCTGACCTTTGTGGTGGCTCCAAGAAACAAACGCTCTGCTCTACAACCCCTACTTAACTATAACTTGAGGTTACTTTAAGCTTAAATAAGAAACTTGATTGTCATTGTACAGAATGTATAATGCCATTTCATTTGGCAGCATTTCTTTATCGGCGGTTTGCATTGAACATTTGAATAACACCCTCTAAGTCGGAGAGTCTCCAAACTTTTCCCCTTTGTAAGCTACCTTCAAATAACAAAAACCAGCATGAGCTACTCATGTTCAGAAAAATATATTTTTTATTTTTGTCAAATTCTGTTCCCAAAACAGATTTTGAACTTAAAACATAGCAGGATATGCTATTTTTAAATGGATGGTTAATTCACAAATTATCTACATGTAATTATATGAAATTACAATAAAAAAACAAACAAGAGTATCATTAAAATGACTGGTAGCTAATTCAGTGTGATGGCTGGTACTGCATATTGTCATCTATAGAGGACAATCTCAGGAGAACTCAGGTTCACTCTGATAGGCTCATTCAAGTGTTCATCAGTCTTGTCCTGTACTTGGATTTCAACATTCATGTCAGACAAAGCTGAGTACCACAGGTAAGTAGACCCAAATAAAGCACACATTTTCAAGGCCACCTGCCTCATGAAAAAAGCAGAATTCTGCTGTTACTTAAGATGCACATTAGTTTGAATATGTCATGCTTGGGAGGCCGTTTTAGAGGACCCAAATGCAGGAGGCAGAGGTGAATCTTGTAGAAAACTGAGGCTGACATCCACAAAAACTAAAGACTAAGTACAAAAATCAGAAAGCATCAGGGAAAACTCACGTGGGAAACCAGAGACAAGGGAACAACAAAACAAGATCAAGGAACCAGCACTGAGTGATTGCAGAGGTGGAGTATATACGGGGAACAGAACACCTTTATTTATGGATGTTGGAGATTGGCCTGTTTTCCAGTGTAGTCCTGTTTCTCTGACTGTGACTGGCTGGATGTGCTCTCTTCATCCTCTGACATGGGAGCTGGCTCAGAGCTCGTCTGCCTGGCTGAGTGTTTCCTGGACGGGGCCGCCTTTTACAGCTGCTTTTTGTATCTCTGCTTCCGTCTCCTTGAACCCCAGGCTTCACCCTCAGCAGATGGCCGCTCACTCTGAGCCTGGTTCTGCTGGAGGTTTCTTCCTGTTAAAAGGAGTCTTTCCTCTCCACTGTCGCTACAATCATGCTTAGTGTGAGGAATTGACTTCGTGTCAATGAGTCGATGCAACCAACTGGTTTTCCTTAGATAGAAAACTTTGAATCTGTCATGTTGGGATTCAGGTTTCTAACCCACATGCAGAACACCAAGGACTCAGAGTAAAAGTTTAACAATTTATTGAAGATATGCACAAGGTTAGTTGACAGATACTGGAATCAGATCCGGGACTGGTGACACAAGGCTCTCTGCAGAGAGGGACAGTTAGGTTAGCCAGGCAGCTAATGATCTTGTAGCTGAGTGAATGTGCAGATCTGTACCTGTTCAGAGATTCAGGCTGAGCGGCAGAGGGAGGGAACCAGGAGGTTCTAGAGACTGATCGATGGCAGTGGGCTTGGCAGTGACAGAACTTGGCTTCAGGCTTGTGAGAGTTCAGAGCTTCTCCAAGTTGCTTCTTGAAGGATGGTAGGCAGATCTAGACAGTTTGATCTTCAGGTTTGTTACTGAGAGCAGGCAGGCAGGTTTCAGTTGAGTTGCCCTTCCAGAGCTCCAGGTCTCAGTCAGATTCTTCCTAGGAGGCAGAGAGGACAGAAAACTGATTAGGTTCAAGTCAGGTTTTCAGGAAGTCAGATAATCAGGCAGGCTGGTTGGCTCAGGCTTGCTAACCGTAACTGGCTTAACACTCTGGCGCTGAAGAGTAGTCCTGCCGCTGTTTATATGCTGATCTCCCTGATGAGCAAATTAGCCGCAGGTGTGGTAGTCGGCTTCAGCCAGACATGGGCAATATGGAGTCAACAAGTCATCTCCATGTCATGTATTTGTTCTACCCAGCCACTGAAGCAGGTGAGTCCAATCTTCACCGTGAATTAACCTGTGCAGATTGGACTCACCTGGTTAATTGGCTGGGTAGATTAAATACATGACATGGAGATGACTTGTTGACTCCACATTGCCCATGTCTGGCTTCAGCTCCAGGAGACCTAGGGCGCCCTCTGCCTGAGAAAGGTGGACAGATCTCCAGATCCCAACAGAATCAAT